AAAGAAGGCACCGTAAGTTGTTTACATTCGAAATGTCGTATCGTGTTTGTGGTCTTTTAGTACAAATTACTACAAAAAATCAAACAAGCGTAAGTAAATACAATTTTTTTACGTTTCCTCTTTGTATTATCGCATCGTTAGTAATTTCTCTTCGTGCAGGTTTTGTCTTCTGTGGACGTATGGTGATATAGAGGCACAAGAGCATGCTGGTACCAGAACTGCTGCCGTTAATCAAAGTCGGAAGGTAAGGAAAGGTCTAAACTTTTAACTTCTCAGCGTGATTCGGTTATAGATGTATTTAGTGTCAAGAAAAGATATTTAATCTCTGTCTTTTATCGTGGGCGAAGTATAGACTAGGTTAGTTTGGCTTAGGTTATCATACTTAACCTCTTAGGGAATGACTCGAAGCCTGAATAAAACATTAATTACACTGCAACTCAAAATTTGTTTGCGTTTTTCACCGAACTTTTCTGCTATTGTTACACAGTGTTATTGTCAGTGCATTGATTTGAACTCTAGATCAGGTTACGTTGAAAGGCTTGTCTCTCTGATAGTGTGTATTTGAAATTATATTCTTGTCGTTGCTTCTTCAAATTCAAATGGTTGTTATAAAAAGTCTGTTCACTTTTTATAATGTTACCTCCATATTCACAGTAATTCAGTTTCATTTATTTTCAGGTTCTTTGGTAGATTTCAATAAGCTGCTGAAGAACCCATTATAAACTGGCTGATATATGCAGTGAGAAGACTGTTTATGTTTTTCTTTAAGTTTCGTTGCATCTAGTCATTGCTATTTTTGTTTTAAAGATTAGGATTTATTTCTTTACGTTATTGTTTTCATGTTTCATCAAATAAAGTCAACATTCTACTCAAAAAAAAAAAACTGTTTCTCTATGTACTGTTTACCCTTCACCTTACTATATAAATTCCAGAGTTATACCTAAATTTGAGATTCAGATCTGCGTGTAGCACCTTTGTACATGGAGACATTACGTCGATATCACGTTGAATCGACGTGATCAACACGTCGATAAATCGTGGATGAGATAGTCAAATTCACGTGGATAACACGTGAATTTGCCACGTGTTTTCCACGTATAACACCACGTCGATTCCACGTCTTTTCCACCAAAATTTCTCTCTGGGTAGTCGAATGCCACGTGGGTCAGCTGGGTCGCGGAGCCGAGTAGGGACCGGGTGCTGGAGAGCCATCTGTCTAGGTCCTCGGGATACTCAGCATATGTCGGTATGACGATATGGAGGCTCCTGAGGGAGCGGCATTCAAGGAGCTGCTCCAGGCCTTCCATGGGCATGCACCACAGCTCCTGGATGTTGGGGATGCAGCTCACCCACCCGGCCAACTTGTTAGTCTCACACACCGCGTAGCCCACATTGAGTTTCTTGAGGGTGGGGGCGTGCGTCCGCAGGAGCAGCTCGACAACCTCGGCAGGCACTGCGAAGTAGTTTATCATCAGCACTTCCAGGGAAGGCTGCACCACAGGCCAATCGGGATGGGCTGAAAGCAGCAACTCTTCATCTTTTGCAGAAGGTGCCGCCCAGGTTGTTGCATTATCAACGTCAGTAAACTCGAGTTCCTGCAAGCCTTCGATGCCCAAAGCGTCGGTGTATAAGTCGACGAGGACGTTGGGATCCTCGGGTCGACACGTGATCGACACGAACAACTTCCTGAGTCGTCCCAGGTTTTTCTGCTGTCGGATGATGAGGGCTGCCAGGCCAAGGGAAGCGAAATTTTCCTCTTCATAGTGGTAGATATTAGCAGGAAGA